GAAAATGAAAATTAATTTATGACCCCAATAAACAGAGATAATCATTGTACTGTTACAGACAGCTTAACCACTGCCAAAAAAAGAATCCTAAAGATAGGAAAAGTTTTGTATGCATTCAGTTTGGACTTGGAAGCCTTAAGAAAATAAAAGTGGTTTCTGTTGTTATAATGTAAAGGTTTTTCAAGGTTTGGAAAACGCTAAATATAGTGCCTTACAACTGATTAACAAACACATCTATCAAAAATTGTTTCCCGTGACTTCTAAGTAAATAATATTCAGCACAATTCTGCTGTAATAAAACTGAGGAGAATTTTGCAGTAAGGAGTTTATCTTTACCATAAATCTTCCTTCATTATAGCATTTTGTCTGTCAAGAAGGCTTAGCTATAGAATGGCATACATCTGCCTTCATGACAGATGTGCTATATGGAACTGCTGTTGTTGCCATTAGTTTCAGTGAAAGAGAATTGTGGGTAATTTTCAGAGATTGGCACTTTATCAACCATTACTACCCTTGCCCTCAGAAAAATTTTTATCACATGTCAAAATCTACCTGTCTTTTAAGTCTCATAACCTGGAGGGCTTGCAAGGCTAGCAAAAAGTGGGAAAAACCCTGGAAAAAGCTGTGTTTATATAGGGAAAGGTTTGGTAATGTCACCTCCATCCTGGGTAGTCCCCCTTCTTTGAATTATTCTGGGGGGAAAACCTTCATCAGAATTAACATATTCCATCTTCAAGGTCAAGCAGGAATGGGCCTCACACAAAAGACCTTGACGGAAACTTCAACTTGGGGCTGAAGAGGCACATTGTATCTGTCTCTGATAAAACAGCCTGTTTCTAGGCAGAGGCAGTGCTGCTCATTAGGCCATGCAGTCTGTCTGGAAAGACCAGACAAACCTCTCAGTGGATGAGCCTAAAAGCCATCCTGGCCAAAAATACCATCCCTAGAGTTTGGAAGACATCGTATTTTACCTGCACATTTAACAGTCATTCCAAAGAGCTGCTAAACTTTGGGACCAGTTAGGTTTTAATAAAGTTTTTAAATGATGGGGCTCATCAGCCCATTCATGGTGAGGAAGCTCAGCTCTGGGCTGGTATCAAGTCCTATTGCCTGGAGTATCTGTAAGACTCTTCCCAGTCCTATAAAAGTGAGAAATTTTTTTCCCCATGGAGAGCCTAAACACAACCTTATTTCATCCTTGCAATACTGGGACTTGCAATGTTGCAAAATGCAGAGAGGCAGCCGAGCTGTGTGTGCATGCACCTCTTCGTTGAGAAAGAGTATCTGATAAAAGACGAGAGCAGTAAAATTTAACCGGCTTTCTTTGGGAAATATTTATGCTGTTCCTAAGGATTTACTATTTTTCAAATTTAAATCTCTCATTCTGTTTCATTTTTATTTCCAAAATTCCCAGACCAAGGGAAGCTCTCTACAGATTAGTAGACCACCAAATCTTCAGTATTTCATGTTTGGAATATGAGAGGAAGAAAATCTCTCTGAAACCTAAATATTTTCCCCCTCTAAAGACCAGACCCATTTTTTGGGAAAATATGCAAAAGTGTTCTCCTCAGGCTGAATGTTGTATGCAGTTTCAGCTTAATGCACAGCTTTATAGCAGATGTAGAAAACAGTCAAAATGGGGGGATTTCTGGGAATACTGGCAGATCTTTACTGTGACTGCAGAGCAGATCCTGACACTCTATAATACTGTTTTGTCTTAATCGTCAAAAGTAAGCTATAGAGAACAAAAATTCTTTGTTTGACAGAAAAGCAATTGCTATTTCTTGTAAAACATATAATATATTCCAGAAGACCTAAGGGTTTACTTTCCAATAAGGATAGAAAAAAGATGTGCGCCCCACTGTGAGCTCACAGTAAGGCTGTTTCATGTAAAAAGTTGGTAATTAGTCCCTGAGTGAATAAAGTAGAAGAGATAAGAGACTGATACTCACTGTAGCAACACAAAACACTTTTTCTAGCTGCTAGGATTTAAAGGGTGTGTGGGTATAGAAACAGACAGGAAAATTCTACATATTTTTACTGGTTAACTAATTTGTTTACAAGCACTGAGCCTCACCACAAATATCAAGCATTTATGTAGAGGAAATACAGGCCGGATGTGGTATAGAAGCCACAGAACTACTTTCGGTTTACTATCAGTGTTAACTGGACTTGGTTTCACATCTGACTTCAGTGTTGCCACATATGAGTATTTAAAGAACTGTCTACTAAAATGAGTAAAAAACCCAACACAGACCTTCTCCTGTAGTTGTGTAGCTTCCATGCAATTCAGCCAGGCCGTATGGCTGACAAGCATATAGAAACACTTATACAACACACTGGTACACCTACTGCCAGAAGCCACTGATTCTGTATATGGGGGCAATGTAGATAAAATGTTATGCCTCCTATTGACTTCGAATATGATATCAGTACAGCTGAAGACAGAATGCATCTCTATAGAACATGCATTGAATTCAGCACTTCTGCAGGAAAATACAGAAAACTTGCAATTCTCAGATTGTGTTTTTGATCTTTGTCAAAAAATTTTATGATGCTGCCAGTAAATATATATTCCATACAGTAACATTTAGACAGAGCAAAAATGAGAATGAACCTGGTTTTCCAAGAAGCCAGCACAAATTCATCTCACAGTATGATTCAAAACAGACAGACAACAGAAAGACGCCCTTTAAATTCAAAGGGGGTTGAATCAGCTAATGGTTTTTAAAACTTCCTGACGTTTAAAGTTATTTTTAACAGGGAAAAAAAGTTTGAAATACTGGTTCTGAAATCATTATACATTTTATCTTGTTTAACACAGTTTAATATTCAGCATAGTCCCTGGGTTTTGTGGGAGTTTCTTATGTTCTAAACATTCATGGTTGCATTTTGCATCTGAAAGCAACCTATTTAAAATAATTGTGAGAGTTCATACTATTCTTTTCTTAACTTTATAAAAATATGCTTAGAACACCCAATTTTTAAACCAGGTTACACTCACTACAAAGTACCTTGGGAGTTTTATGTAGGTATGTAAAATAATAAACAGCTATATTTCGTATGAGAAAATGTCCAGTGTAATACATGAAAACATCATTATCCAAAGACCTCTAGAGACTCTGGCAAAAAAACTTTGGATAAATGAGTTTGAATAGCTAAGGGACCAGGCATAGCAGCTTTGAAGTTTCCAGTTGTCCTCACTCTGAATAACGCAAAATTCAGACAATTCTTGTTGTACAGCTGTCATAATTTAAGTATTGCTAGCGAGTTGCTTCAGCCAGATAGCAAAATTCAGACAGAGGTCATGTCCTCAGTTCCCAAACAAGCAGCACAAATCCAGGAGCCACTTGCTTCATTTCCACAGTGAAACTGGGACAGGAAAGTAAGAACCACAGCAGGAAACACTCACCCCAGCTCATGCAAGAGTGAACCTGAAGTGCAGCCGGCAGTCAGCATGCTCCAGAGAGGCTTCTGCTCAAAGCCTGTAACTCAGGCCCTGGAGGCTGTGCGTGCTGCCCTGGGCTGCTTTTGGGATCTTTGGCATCCTTCCTCTTCTCTTGTCCCGAAGAAAATGTTTGCCTCCACCAACCATTTCCCTCATGTTCCAGCACACAGTTATGTGCAGGGAACCAATATTTGCTCTATTTAAAGCACTTATAGGAAAAGATACAGTGAGACCCAATTTACACAGACTCTCAGGCTGCTGACAGATTGGGGGACCAACGTGTGTTCCTGTTTTTCAAAGGAAAACACTCATTTCCTCTCCAATCAAAGGCTGGCATTTACAATGAACCAAATTCTGCCAAATTCCCCATCTCCTGTGCTCCAAGAACATCCATAGAAGAGCAGATTTGTCTTTATTCAAAGTGACTTACCAGCATAGCTATGCTCAGTAACACCATGCTTTTGCATTACAAGAAATTGTGTTACAGTAATCTACTGATGGTATAAATGATCAAACACCAACCAAAACAAGTTCTCCCAGCAAGAGCACTTTGATCACTTCACTCTTTCTGCATTATAGAAGCACTCTAATTTACAAGCTTTAGAATAACTTCTGCATTCTCCAGATGTGTTGAAGGACAATACCATCAGAGTAATTTTTACACAGGGAAGCAATTAATGAGGAGTTAGCATACTGGAATTTACCTCTGACGAGCATTTCTAGAGCTTGAACTTGCTGTATAGGAACAGAAGATAATCACAGAGAGACAGAGCGAACAAACTGTACCTACCTTACTGATGTAAATGCCCCTGTTGTCCAATACAAAAAAAAAAAAAAAAAAAAAAAAAATTTCGGAAACCATATTCAGGTTAAAGGGCACAATTCTTATCTGGTATTCCACCCAAAGGACAATGATTTCATTTTATAAAGATCATTAGTCAGTGAAATATATATTTTAGAGAGTTTCTAGTAGGGAAGATTATTTTGGCAGTCACTGGAGTGTACCAGATGGTTCATTAACATAGGCTAGACAAGTCAAAGGCTTTCAGAATCATTTAGAAAATGTCAAACAGAAACAAGAACCCTGTCACTTTTTATTAGAATTAACTACATCATACCCTGGACACAGATTTCACCTTGGGTCAGAAAAATTAATACAGAATTATATGAATTGTGTAACATACTAGGTTAAAGATAGGGCTTCCTCTTGGGACTCATTTGCTAGCAATATATTATGGTCTTCTACTTTAGGAATCCTCAACCTTTCTTTTTGTAAGCTATGAAAAGAGCTGACCTTGCTCAGACTCCATTGGTGTCTAATTGATTTGAGGTATATGCAGAATTTCAACAAGACACTCTGCTAAAGCTCTTTTGTGATCATTTTCCCAGGAAAGTTGGCAAAAGGGTTCACTGAATATTCAGCAGCTTGTAAAGTATGCTTTTGTCGGGAGGAAAAAAAAAAAAATAAATCCATTTAGTGAAACACTGCCTTCATAAACAGAAATTAAAATGGAACTGAATTGTTGTTCTTTTTTTTTTTATTATCATTTAGATGTCAAAAATCTTGAGAACTTCCAGCTTGTGGAAGGTGTTCAGGAACAAGTGAATGCTGCTCTGCTGGACTATACAATGTGTAATTACCCACAGCAAACAGACAAATTTGGGCAGCTTCTCCTGCGACTACCAGAAATCCGGGCCATCAGTATGCAGGCCGAAGAATACCTCTACTACAAACACCTGAACGGGGATGTGCCATGTAATAACCTTCTCATTGAAATGCTGCATGCAAAGAGAGCATAAATTATACCCATTAGAGCTTCTGCTTTCAAGGAAAAAAAAAAATATTCTGAACTGCCCCAAGCAACACTAATTAAAACGTGGTTTTAAAACTTTGCAAAATGGTATAATAATCAAATACTAATAGTAAATAAGTGATGTATCAGGGTATTTGTATTGCAAACTGTGAATCATATGCTACACATCCCCAAAGGAATCTATCTAGGACTTTGTACTGGAGTGAACTTACCAAGTGGATACCATCACCAATGTCGACATGAAAAAGGACAGAATGATCCTTGTATATTTAACTCTGCTGATTGCCAATATGAAGAAACTTAGGAGAAAAAAAAAAAAACTGATCATATTATCGAGCTAAGATAGTGGGGAATTTGAGTGCACTAAATTCCTTCACTGTATAGCAGGACTTATAATAGATGCAAAACTGCATCTATAGCCTCTTCTGTCATCCTTCCAAGGACCCAACACTTACTACTTCTGTGATAAATGATGTGGCATCCATTCAACAATCTGTAAGACAGAGCTGGCGTAGGCCAAGTGCTATGTAGTGTCGCCACCAGATCCTAAGAGGCTGGTTGTGACTGTCGGTCTCTCAGGCCTGCAAATCACTAATAGGAAGAGTCTGTTATCCAGTTAGCTTGGCATTCTTACTATGTTCTGAAGTTTGTTTTGTCACGTGTTCATGTTGTTCTATCAGGCAGTATCCCTCTTCTGCTACTGTTATCAGGTAGCTATTAAATAGCTAAAATAAATATTCCAAAAACAAATTAGCCAATTCAACTATATACTTAACTAGGGCAGTGGCTAAAATATGGCTCTGCTATATATTCATGGCCATTTCCAAATAAAGGAAATAGTGATATTTTAGCCATCACAAACAACAGCTTCTCGACCAAAAAAACCCCAAACTGTTTAGGATACCAAATACTGATGTTAAAAGAAAAAAAAATAATTCATTTAGTGCCGCAAAAATAGAAAAATAAATTGTATGACCTGATGATGCCATGGAGCGTGTTAAGAAATGGTCTTTAAAATTGCCAGTAATTAAGAAACTAAATTTCAACTCAAACGTCCAAAATCTGATGAAACTTTTTCCTTTTAAAGTTAGGTAATACACATCTTTTACGCAAAGAAAGAAGAGTGATACTGCTATGTCTATGTAGGCCAAAGTCTGCTGCAGAACAAATATTAGAGAAGAACAAACAATTCTCTCTCTGTCCAGATGAAGATATCAGTATTAACATTTAATGCCACAGTTATGAGTCTTGCCTTATTTCATTACCCTTAAAGATAACTGTGCAGGTGTGGATCAACATAAGTTTAAAATAAAGTATTAATCTCTAACATTAACAAAAACATAGTGTTTACATTCTTTAGGTCCTGTGGGGAAAAAACTGTGATAAAATTGCAGAGCAGTTATTCCTTATTATTTCTTTTAAATTGGTAATTATTTTACCAGTACTTAATTACTGTATGTCGTGAGACACTAAAATCAATAGGGGTATTTCATTTTGACTTTAATTTTTGAGATTATTGGCTGCACAATCACTTGTAGAAACTGTACAATATCCTAATCCTTTAATTTTTTTCATGAAGATTACTGGCTTTTGAATAGTTTATTTATATTGTATATGATAGTTTTCACTGTAGACAATTATGATGCTAATTTATTGTTCTTTGGTTTCATCTTTATATAAGATATAGCCAGAATGAAGAAGCCAAATATATGTGTTTACTGTAGCATGTCTTCAAGTTAGTATAGTTCAGGGACATACAAGGGTCTTTACAAATTAAAATCATTCGCTTGATTAAATGTCTGTAAATCTTCATAATCCTGAATGTAGTTTATTTAAATCTATTGTAAATTATGTGAGTTATAACTTTTTCTGTTTCATGTGAACTTGAAAAGGTGCATTTCTCTTACTTTTTTCCAACCATTCATACACTGTATACCAAAGACATCAGTTATTACATCTGCATTAGTACAAAGCACACTATTTTAATCACCTGTATTAATTCGCTCTAATATTCTCTCCATGCATAGGGTACAAACACAGCAAAGCCTAGTGTCTGCAACTCCTAGATGCCTGTCTTCTATCACAGAACACACGTACTGTTGTACGGACCAAAAGCAAACCAAGCACAGCTCCCTTAGTCATCCCACACAGCAGATGTGCAAGCATTATTTAAATAACGGCATTCTCCTTCAAACAAACTAAATTAACAGAAAGTAAGATGCGGGTGGCAATTGACAGTGGCTGTGAAATACATTTACCCAAGTGTACAAGATAAATGTGGTCATTCTTTCGTTTTTGAAAGAAAAGCAAAGCACATTTCAAGTGTTTGCATTCTGTATTTTTTCTTTTTTTTTCCTGTTGAAATGCTACAGTGAATCTTCCTGAATATTAAAAAAAAAGAGCTTAAAAAAATGTTCCTAGCTGTATTCATAGCACCATTATCTATATACAGGACAAAAGAGTTAAGAGAAGGATGTGGAAGAAAAGAACAATTTTTCATACAGTTTAATGGAAACAATTTCAGTTAAACTAACATATATTTGCCCACATCTGCGGTTCCAAGAATCCCACCAGATTTCCCAAAGTACCGCACAAAACAAAACAAAACAATCACCAAAAATCACCCCTTCATGTTAATTGTTAACTACTTTGTAACCAGGCATTTACTTCTGACTGCCTTATTGATTACAGGACATATTAGTAAAAGCAGACTAAAATTCAAAGGGTTTGGCTTTGGCTGGTTTATTATAGTTGTTCTGTGTTTGTAAACAGACAATCTGTAAAGTCTTGACTATTTGTATTACAGATGTTCTGCAGCTGCCTTGGATTTGAATCCATGCAACTCTTAGAATGTGCAGTGAGTTACTTGTTGAAGTTGAAGTTCTCTTACTGTATCGGTGAAATACATATTGTCATGTCAGTTCTTGCCAGGAGTTTCTCATCACCAATGGAATTATTTTTTTTCAGTATTTCAATAAATATTGATATGCCTGTGCCAATTACTTTATAATTGTCTTTATAACAACATCATTCCACTGAAATGAAGCACCAGTCAAAAATCAGTCACTCAAAAGTGGAGAGTAAATTGCAGGAAAAGTAAGAGCATCAAAGGGAATTTGATGCAGAGCGGAAGACACAAACGTGGAGAGCGGCACCTTCAAAAGCTCAGACTGTGATGGTGAAATTGCCTAGGCTGAAGCAAAGTAAATATAGCTAAACAGATCAGAAAAGCTGAATCTCCAATCAAAAAGGAATTTACCAGTTAATACTTTCAAATACCTTTCATCTCATACAGCACACTTAATTTTTGCTTTACATGTTACCCATAAAGAGTTAAGCAGCTGAAGCATCAGAGAGGGAAGATGACAGAACAAAAGAAAATCAGGTAACAGGATCCAGCGGAGCTCAGGATAACCTCTCAGCAATGTAAATACGCGGCAGGGCCAGGGGCAAACCCACAGCTTCCAACACAACTGCCAGTGGAGGCTGCCAAGGAGGCAGATGTTACTGCTACTAGAGAAAAATATTTTCCTAAAGTTGCCCTCTGGCTCATCTGATTGCTGTTTCAAGAGCAGGAGGTGAAGTGGTCCAAGAGAGCTTGTCAGCAGTACCCTACTGTGCTGAGACCGAGTCCACTGCTTCCCCTGAACTGTCTGGTAGTTAAAAAGGGGCTGTTCTCCAAGGTGCCAAATGTTAATGCTTTAAGGGGAAGAAACAGGGCTATAATTAGTTATTTACAAATCCTGCACTTGAACGAAACAAAGCTGGTTCAGTGTTGCAATAAAACCAGAGTAAAGCAAATAGGATTAGGTGATTTACAAGTGAGGAAGGATTATTCTAACTTTTAGGAATCATAACTGAAAACCATGATTTTGTGTAAGGGGGGATTTCAGGATTGATATATTTTAGTTTTCCTTATGAGAGATATATTTTTAGGTGATATATTTAGTATATACACTATGCATTTAAATTATGAGCAGATTTATTTTTAACTGAGTTTGACACTGTTTCTGGAACAATCTGCTGTATGTTTTTATTGGAAACATGGAAAGAGTGAGTTCAATGTAACACAGGTCAAGTCAGTACAATACTTAGTGATCTTGACAATTTCCTGGAATACTGAATAACACTTTTTATTAACCCCTAATTTGAAGCCCATAGTCTAGATACGTGACAAAAGTTCTAACAATATTTTTACCTTCTTCAGTGTAGCTGCTGTAGTTTTCCAGAGAAATTTTATACTGACGCATCTACCAGAATTTAGAATGGCAAACAAAAAGCATTAAACTAATAGCAAGCTAAGAAAATTACATGTAAACTTTCAGAGATCCCAGAGCTATATAAGCCTGTGATGCTGGCATGAGCCCAAATACTTACCAGTCCAGCAATTTCAGTTGCATGTAAGCTGTAGAGAAAAGATTCATTTTCTAAGGGCAATTTGCCAACCACATGAAAAATCTTTGCTAAATAGAAGAGGACCTGACCCTCACATGGAGCACAGACATGCCTACCCTGATGTCAGCAGACCTAAACTGAAGAGATCAACACTAGAAGCTACTCAATAGATATAGTCTTGTCCAGCACACATCAGTGGGACAAGACAAAGCTTCCCTTCATCAAACATGCTTTCCAAACCTCATATTTTCGCTCCTCTGTAGAACAAAACCCTCTACAGTTTATTAAGTCTTGAAGTGTGACATGCAAGCTTGGACTTGCAATACTAGGTGAGTTTTCATTATTGCCCCAAGAAGGTACTCACCCCTATTTCCTATTCACTCTAACTTCATTTAGCCCTAGATTAACTATCAGGCTTATGACAGTTTCTGCTATGTATGCCCTGTGCACACTCAAGTAAGTGGACCATTCAGATGCAAGGTAGGGCAAAATGGTGGAATGCAGACTCCTGATGCTGTTTGTATTCATGGTGGCTTGGCTGTAGTGCCCTGCTCAGACCACTAGTGGCCTGTCTCATTAAGGACTACAGGT